CTTTCCTTCTTGAATTGTGAAGTTAAAAGGTATTCAAACAGATGGCTTCCTTTACAAATTCTGTTTTTCTTGGAAGTAGCTGAGTTTGTCCATTCTCGTCTCTTTGAGAATTTCAGATAAATTAGTAATCTCCCAAATATCAGCAGGACTTTATAGGATTCATTTGGATGTAATGTCTTTCTTTTCATTCAGAGAATGGACGCCACTTTGAGCAACATGAAAGAGAAAATCAATAATGCACAGTGTGCTCTCCCACTCTTTACATGTCTCCATGTCAAACCAGATGTCTCAGAGCTGATGTTTGCAGGTATGTTTTCAATCTGTGTATTGAGTCACTTGTGAAGAGAGAAGTGTTTGACTGACAGAACAGCCTATTTTTTTAATACTTCTGAGAATAATTGTATTCTGCAACTTGGCACACTTAGAAATTACTAGTCTTACGGCAAGGATTAGGAAGGAATTTGCCATGATATAGAACACTCGTCAGGGCTTAACAAAATTCACATTGTTGTAAATTAAGTACAGGGAGATTTTAATTTGCAAAAAGAATAGGAAGTTGTGGTGTTGAAGGATATACCGATCAGGCGTATCATAGGGATTGTTCTGGTGTGTTTTAAAAGGTGATTGGGAAATGGATGCATTTGTGTTCAGTGGCTTCTGGGAATCTGACAGTAGAGTCTGTTAACAAGAAGTGAAGAACAGGCATCAAATGGTTGTATTCCTCATGGTATATCATGGAACTGAGCCATTTATTGGCTTTTAAGATGCATCTTTTCCTGTCCGTGGAAAGGCAGACAGACTGTATTTTAGGTTAATGCCTTTTGTTTCTCCATCTTTCTTGTGTTTGGAGACTTATTCTCAGACCATATTAAAACTGTTAATTTTTTTTTTTCTAATGTGAAATTAAGTCTAACACGATAACAGCCTCTTCAGGTTTCTGTGAAATGTTAAGTTATAGCCAAATTTTATTCTCTATATGTTGCAAAAAAGATGATTTCCTACCAATTGACAAGAATATTGCTTATCCTGGAGGTATCTTAGTACACTGCAGGAGTCAAGACAAAAAACAGGCTGGTGTCTCTTCAACAACAGAAAGCTGCTTAACATTAGTGTATCAAATAGGTAAAGGGAAATGTCTTCAGCCATACAGGATTATTACTCTTTCTGAGTGAAATGAGAATTAAAAAAATTAGATATACTACCTCTTTTTTACTTCTTGCACAGTGTAAAGTCCTGTGGGCTTTTACTTTTATTTATTCCATAGGTTTTAATTCCATTTAGTAGCATCAGCTGGGAGTTGGTCCAGTTGTGCTAGATGCTGTACAAAGAAAAGGATATGTATATGTACATAGTTATATATAAGACTGAGAAGAGAAATACCAAGTGGCTTGACTGGGGTTTATAGGTCAGACGTATACACAGTTCCTAAAAAGATTATTTGGAAAAGTTGTTATCAAAAGTTTGTGTGTAATGGAAAATGAGGTAGTAAATTAGGTTAGATTTTTCATAGGAGAATGTGAAACTTTCTTCCTTAGGAAACTGAAACCTTTCTGTTTGAAAAGTATTTTGGTTTTTGATGTGCTTCTGTTTTCTGAGAAATTTTATTTGAGTTACTTATTTACCATTTTAAAAACAAAATTGTCTTTAATTAATAACGGCCTTCTCTAACAAAGACCAGAAGGCTGGTCTAATTTCTGTAGCTTTACCAAGTAGGCCTAAAAAAAGTATTGACTCTGCCAAGGGATCTTGGTTTTGCTTTTTTGAATCTGTCGTCTGTATCATTACATAGGATGCTAGATCTTGATAATTCCTATTGTAAGTTTTTGGTGGGTTTTTTTTTTTTTTTTTTTTTTTTTTTTTTCTTTTAGAGCTGAACAGCTATTAACTTTGAACAGAAATATTTACACTTTCTTATTTACAAGGTTATACATATAGGTGAGCGCTTTCATGTTTTTTCAAGTTGAAATATATTAATTATTTCAGCTAACATTCCTTCTGTGATGGTGCAAGATTTCATGCAGCTGCTAATAGCTTTCATGCCCCAGGCTCTGCATGTGTTTCCTACCAATAGCATTTCTGACCCAGATGGTACCAGCATACCCAAACCTACAATAATCATTTTGACTGAGCATAATTACACTGATTTAAAGACAGATTTTTTTTCTTTTTGTTATGATAGCTTCTTTAGTGATAAGAAATTACCTGATATCCAGTGTTAAGGAGAGGAGTGGAATTTAATGTTTGGCTTTGGTATTGCATGCTTCCATCCCTTAACAGCCTTATTCACTATCTTTGCTGCTGCTGCAATGCCAGACCAGTCAAAATTTGGATTTGGTGGTTTTGCTCTTGAAAGTCACTATAATAAACTTACGTCTATGAGAGGGTGAGTATGTGTTTTGCTCTGTACCAGTAAGTGCTACAGAATTTATTTGGAAGCAGGGCTGCCTTGAAGTATGGATTCATAGCACTGGGATCCCTCAGTTGGTGCTTGGTTAAGCCATGATCATCACACATACCAGATGGTTAAGCCATGATCATCACACATACCAGATCGCACATGTGGTTTTAATCTGCCTGCATGCAGCAAGGCTGGAATGTAAAGTGAATTTGTTCTCAGTGTGCGAGTACAGGCCATGTATTTATGTGCCCAATCCTGAATCTACCAAATGCTTAGTATTAGCAAAAGATTATGTCTCTGTCTTCCCTCCTGACAAAAGGAAAAATCTGTTGCACCTTCAGCTGGTACAAAGCAGTGTAGAGATATGATCTGACTTAAATCAGGGCCACATCCAAAATGCAGTGAACGCAGATGAGATGTCTTACTTTAGTATATTTTGGATTCAGCCAGAGCAAAGAAACTAGCCTGGTTTGCTGGGATATAAACACTTACGTATTTCTGTTGGTATAGAGTTCCTGTCTCTCGGGACATTCAAGTCCTACTCGTTTAAACAGCCACTGTCTCAAGGGGCTTCTGGAATGGGAGAAGATAATGCTGAAGCCCTTTAATTTTAAGGCAGAGACCTTATTTCACTAAGCAGGATGTGTGATTTGAGAAATCATCTTCTTCAGTGCAAATATAAAATGAAAGTGGACTATTACAGATTAATTCTGATTCTAAATTAAGATTTGCTGTCAACATGGTTCTGAATAGTTATCTGCCAATTACTGTTTATATATCTAAAGGGAAATACGATTAAATTCCTGGACTGGGTTTTCAAAGGAATATCCTTCTCCAATAAATGTGAAGATTTGTTTGGAAAATAAGATGTTGCATTTGACTTAGCATAGATAAGCATTGCCCTGTGAAATTAAACTCTCAGCAGTCATGATTAAATATTTCCTTTCAGGACAAGTGGTTAACTTTATGCTTAACATTTCAACAGAAACACTGAACATCTTGAGTAGTGGATGGCATCCTGTGACTTGTGGAAATTTTTCAAATCTGTTTCTTTTGCCATTCTATTTCAGAATTATTTCTAATTTGTTTACAGAAGTAGTCAAATCTATTGCCACTAAAAGACAGAAGATAAAATAGATGAATGGGTGAAATACTAAAAATATAGGGTATTTTTTGTTTGCTATTGCTCCCTTTCTGAAATGAACTCTCCGATGTAAGTAGCTCCGCAAGTATCAAAGAAAATATTTCAAAATCAATTGAAATCCAATTTCTAAAAAGTTGTATATCATATAATGTAAATAACTTCTGAAATTTTCTGCTAAGATTAGAAAATGCATTTAAATATTCCATATTTTTATTGAGCTCTCTATTCAGTGAAATGGCATATACTTTTAAAAATATGTTTGACAATGTTTGGTATTGTAAGTCTCTCAGCTGACTCTCAGCTTTGCCCTTTTCATATGGGATTTCACTAGAAATTTTAGGTTTTTGTGGAATCCAAATGCCTCTTGTAAAATATTTCATTTTATGATATTAAATAATTTTTCTGCCACTTCTGGCACTGCTCTCTACATTTTGATAGCATCATGGTGAAAGAAAAGAAACTCGAAACTTAGACCCACGTTGCATTTCGCATGCTCATATTGAAGCATGAGATGAAAACCAGATGTCATTTTGTTTTTCTCACCTGTGATCACTAATTTTATACTTCTGGTTTTAAAACCTCATATTTTTTCAGGAAAGTTTGTTATGATAAGAGAGAATGAGAATTCCTTCTCTGCTGAGACCTTAGGCTGTCTTTCATTTAACATCAAAATTTTCACTTCTGTACAACCTAAGAGATATTTCTGTTGGTTATTTAACTTCCTTTTACCTAGAATTTTTTTGCTTGGGCAGAGATTTCATTCATTTATGTATTTTCACCCTCTGTTTCTATTCAGGTTCAGATTGCTCACTAAGTACAATTTTGTTTCTTATTTTGCAGACTGGGTGGAATTCAGTCCATATGAGATTGGTATGGCAAAGTATGGCACTTTCATGTCTCCTGATTTGTTTGGAAGCAAATTTTTTATGGGGACAGTGGTGAAGAAGTATAGTGAAAATCCTTTGCATTTCTTGATGGGTGAGTATGTGGCAGAGTATGTGGTTTATTTTAAAATAAACCTAATTTCAGTAGCTCATGGACAAGGGCTTTTAAATGCAGCCACACAAAGAGTGAGACAAGAAGTAGAGTTCTCAGTTTGTTGGAAGACATCCACTTGTAAGATTTCATGGACGTGGACTGGCATTCTCTGGTTTTTTGTTTCTGGTATGTCATCTGAGCTTACAGCTTAACGCGTTCCAAAATTAGAAATGTGTTCAGAAAGCAAGCAACTGCTTAAGTAGTGCATTTTATGGGGAGCTGTTTTCCTTCTACCAGCCTCCATTCATTGTTTACTTTTTCCTTTTCAGGTGTCTGGGGCAGTGCATTTTCTATATTATTTAACAGAGTGCTTGGTGTCTCCAATTCTCAGAATAAAGGTCCCACCATGGAAGAAGAATTAGGTAATATTAGTAAATAATTCTTCTACTATGCAAAAGAGTTACTAGCAACATTCAGCGCACTCTCAATCTGTGGAAGGATAGCGCTCTGCTGATGGTCATTTTAAGAATGTGGAATTCAAACAACTTTAATTGCTGACATTGCTAGATGCTGATGAGGTCATGGAAAGAGGGATAATAATTTTCTTTCACTTTTGTTTCTGATCAGTATCAGAGGTACTGAAAGTCACATGCATATATCCAAGTATTTTCATGAAGTTATTAGCATCCAAGTCCTTTTTTTATGTCATTATGCTAGTTTTTGGAGATCAGAAGTTGGCAGATACTTCATAATTCCTATTCAGAAGACAGCATTTCAGGGAAATAGATAACCAACAAATAAACTGTACTAGACAGCCAAATTTTTCTGAAGAGGATAGAGAGAAAATGCAGATAGAGTTGATTTAAAATACAACAAAAAAACCCCAAGCCCCTTAGCTGCCTCTGTCTCCTAATAGATGGTATTCACCTGTTTGATAATGTACTTATTTATGGATGAAAATGAGACTTGTGCCTCCAGGTTCATATTTTTGATAAACCTCATGAGTGTTAATACATACTAATGGAGGATTTCTATCAATAAGTTTGATAGTGGAAGAGTATGAGTTACTACTTTTAAAGATGTTGAGAGACAGAATGTTATCTGTCATTTTTGGCTCAATTCACATATAATTTAAAAAAATACGCTTTAAAGTGGGATTAGATGTGAAAATTCTAATGTGACTTGAACTACAGTCTATTACCAGAACTGAAGATGTGACAGTGAAACCTTGGTACCACCAAAGTGAATGGCAGAATGCCAGTGGACATGACAGTTACACATAGCATGTGTAAATCACACCTAGAGCAGTAAATAATAAATTTTGCATAGGGGTTGCTTTAAGGAGATGATTTGATGTCCAAAAATTGCGTTTTTTGTTTTTGTTAGCTTCCTTTTTTGGTCACCAATTTTGATTTTGACCTGTCTCCTATGTCATTGCTAAAGAATTTTGTACATATTTGTCTTTGGTGCGTGTTTGTCCATTGATGGTATTTGAATAGTGACTGAGGACCTGCTGAGTATTAAAAAGTATTTAAAGAAAAATACATGATGACTAAGCTCTCCTGTCTCTGTCATTATTTTTACAGTGTTATCTGTAAGTCTAAGAGGGCATAGTCCTCTTTAGGAAAAAAGCAACAGTAGTGGTCAAGTGGTCATCCGTATCCAGTAATCATTACCAAGGGTAATGAAGCAGTGGTTTTTTACACTTTCTATCATGGTGAATCTCTCTTCAGTCTTCTCTTTCAGCCAGGCGTGTGTATAGGAATTAAATTTAGACTTAAACAAAAAGTGAAACGTGTAATTGCTGTTGTTTTGATACTGCATGTGTAGAAATTACAGCATTTGTTGGAAATCACAGTCCAAAGCAGGTGTATGCCACCAGAGACCAACACCTATGTTATCCTTCTGTTAGAAAAAGAAGATGTTATTTTATTTTCATTTTGTTAATGATAAAAACAGTTAGTTGATAATATGTTCAAGTTCACTAGGTAAAAACCCTTATTCAGCTTATTTTAACCGGCTTCAGATTTTAATTAGAGATGATTCTTGGCATACATTATACTGGGGAATAAAGTTTTCAATAGTCTCTCAGATACATTTGCATCACTGGAATTCAGTGCCAGTCTCTAGTCTCTGTAGGATATAAGCTTCCAAGATGAGGCTGCTCATAAAACATTGGAAATTTACAGTATTTCAAGAAAGGCTTCCCTCCATAATCAGCAAAAATAATGTAGTTAGCATATAATCCATTCTCATGTGAGTTTATCTCCACTACAAACCTTACCCGAGGAGAAGAATGTGTTGCTTTTTCAGTATTCACCTTGACTTTGAAATAATTCTTTAAGATAGTAATGATTTGTTAACAATGACTTTGTGGTTGTTTTGGAAACAAAGCTGTTACCCCTAACAAAATGCAGATTTTTGCCAGAGAAGTTTACTCATTTCTGGTTTTATTTCTCTCACCTAATATTATGAGATGAAAACCATTGTCTTATCTACCCATATAACTGTATTGGCCTTTATTTTTCACACATACTCCAGCAGAACTTTCATAACTATCTTGGCTTTTGATTTTCTCCCACTATTTTTAAGGATACCCACTCATAAATGTATGAATGAAGTTAAAAGAGTTCCTATTTATAAGAAAAAATTAGCAGGTAATTAACAGAAATTAATGTAGTCTTCCTAGTTTACTAGGAGTTACTGAGAGGACAGAAGCTATATATCTAAATTTTAATCAAGGTGAATGAAATGTTTCAGATATGTGGTGCAGAGGTGAGTGGTGGGTACTGCTTTAGGATTACATTTTGTTTTCTCAGCCCTTTGACTAATCTGTTTAGTGCAGAAGCTTTGCAAAAATTGAAGGCTAGAGCAAATACATTCTGATGAGATGCTGAACGTAGAGATGTCTACAGCAAATCAAATTTCTTCAGCTGTATTTTCTATTATGAAGTCTATGATAATTTTATGACTCAAATTATTTTGAAATTCTTAGCTATTCTAGTAATTAAACCCTGGCAGTTTAAAGTCATTTTGTATTTCTTTCAACAGAAAATATTAGGCTAAAGCACCTAGTAAGTAATGACAGTTCAGACAGTGAAGATGAATCACAGCACCCAAAAGGTAAGGAAATCTTCACATCTTATTTCATAGTTTACTTTTTTCATCAGCTTTCATGTAGTATGGTCAAGTTTGTGGATGCTGGAAATTAGTCATAGCCAGTTTTCCTGAGTCTTACCAATTGTGTCTTACAACTGAGAGCTCTGCTTTCGTTTATACCAATGGTAAACTTAATTGCCTAGGTTAAGGATCCTAAAGGAGCTAGTGGCTCAGCAAAATAGAGAAACCTTGAACAAGAGACCTCAGGAGGTCCTTTGGCTTGACTTCATGACTCGCACTCAAGCTGATGATCAAATGATTACCTCACACATTTTCAGTCTTGGTATGAGTCCAACAGGGCTTCAGAGAGGTCTGCAATTTCACATACACCCCAAAATTAGGCTTGCTGAGGCAGTGATAACCAGAAGTCTGTTGCCAGCAAACTGCTGAGCTCAGGGGTGTGTTCAAATTACCAGCCCAGCAAACGAATGCTATCCATTGGTTTCAAGGGTTCCTTGTGGAAATATTTGCCTGAGAATAGTTTAATTTGTGTTTCCAGCATTCATAGATGTCTTCCAGCACCTTTACAAATGACATCTGATGCAGGAAATTCCTAGTGTTTTGGCACAATGTTTTAAACAATGCCCAAATCCCCAAAGAGGTACAACTGCAAGGGGAGCACTGGGCAGTGGGAAGAAAAAATCCTATTGAAAATTATCTTTAGGTGCCTAAGTCATCTCAGGATTTCTGTGATTTTAGTCAGGATCTCTGTCTCATCATAATAATGCTTTGTATTTGATGATATGTTTGGGGACAACAGTGATTTTCACCTGAAGAAATTAATTATCTTTTTAACAATGCAAGCAAGATGGAAGTGCAGCTCTTTGTAATTTTAGGAACCACAGGAAGAAAAGAAAATCTTGTGTGATGAGACAATTAATTATGGCATTAGCTCAGTTAAATGATTACTTCTTCAATTCTCCTTATGTGTAAAATAATAGGGAGAGGGAGCACATTTTGTGTTTATTTGTGGATTTCCTGTGTGATTTCACTTTAGCCAGCATGAAACACTACATTTCTGTCATAGTTTGTAGCCATAGTGAACAACCTACAAATCTTTGATTTGTAAACACTTGATAATCCCTAACACTTCTATAGAATACTGTAGTAGATATGTTGGACCTCTAAACTTCGTGGTGTTTGCTTGTTTTCTGTCTACTTTATATAAAAATCAGCTCCTTTAATGCCTGGATTAAGGAGACACATTTCAGTTCTGCGTTTAAAGTATCAAGCCTGAGCCTGAATTATCTTCTTACATAAAACACCCCAAAAAGTTTTGACAATCCAAGTAATTTTTATTGTGACTTCTCTATAGACATATAAGTCTGGATGTTTCATTGTATTCTTTAAGTACAAATATAGGTTGTAGTCTACAGTTTACTGTAAGGATATTTTCAGGTATTTTAGAATTCCTGTGCTACAGCATTCTCTTACATGCAGCCTAACTTTGCTTTCTTAAGGAAAGCTGGGTTTCTAGCAATTGGCAAAGACAGAGAAGGGTGGCAGTATACATCCAGATGAATTTAGGTCTACATAAAGTATAGATCTTTGTGACTTACATCTGTCACCTGAGCCCAGGAGAGTTTGGATTCTAGGTGCTAGCATGGATAAAACCATGTTCTCATTGCCCTTTCTATCCAGCCTAATTAAGTCTGGCTAAGGTAATCTAACACATTCCCAGTCTATTTTCCTGATTGACATATTCACACCACTGTACTGCAGATTAAAAGTTTCACTGGCCTGTGAAGTTAAGAGGAAGATTTCTTTTCATTTGTCTGAAATTCTTGCAGCAAAGCTCCTTCATTCAGTCTACAGCAACATGAAAATACTACGACCCAGTTCCTTTTATTTTAATAGTTCTTTATTTTAATAGACCTAGAAATCTTGGGTTTATACTTTGTATATTAACTGGTTTACTATTGGTTATTTTAATTTTCCTCCTCAGGCACTGAAAATGCTGAGGCAAATCAAGAATATCATAACAGCAGCCAGGAAAGCTGGGTGCAGCGAATGCTGATGGCTTTGGTGGGTGATAGTGCCCTTTTCAACACCAGGGAAGGGCGTGCTGGGAAAGTGCACAACTTCATGCTGGGATTGAACCTCAACAGCTGTTACCCACTCTCTCCTCTGGCAGACCTTCTTACTCAGGAGTCCGTGGAGGAAGATGAACTAGATGCTGCTGTTGCAGGTTAGTTCACAGAAAGTCTATGTTGCTGCATATTCCTTAGTAAAACGAGATACAGCGATTCTCAGCGAGGCTCACAACAGCACGTACTCCTCCAAAGGTAGAAGGACATGCTTGTCACTTGATGAAATGCGAGCAGTAAACATTGTGTACGTTGATTTCTATAAAGGCTTTCAATATGGTTTCCCACAGCCTCCTCCGTCCTCATAGAGAAACTGATGTGTTAGACTCTTGAGAACTGGTCAGTGTGGTGGGTGGAGAACTGGCTGACTGTCTGCACCCAGAGGATGGTGTTACATAGCTTTTTTTCCAGCTGGTGACCTGCCACTAGTGGGGTCCCCCAGAGATCAATATAGGGTTCAGTTCTGCTCTTAAGTAATCTGGATGGTGGGATCAAATGTACCCTGATGAAATTTTCCAATGATAGCAAACTGAGTGGGGAAATGGACCCTTTGGAAGAGAGAGCCACCCTGCAGGATGAGCTGGATTGGCTGGAAGAGTGGGATAACAAGAACCTTATGAAGTTCAGCAAGAGGAAGTTGTGTTCGTTCCATGTTCTTGTGTAGTAGCACAGCACTAGCAACCATCCCTCATAGTAACAGTAATCACTTCAGCCTTTATTTTCTATTCAGAGGAAGGAGATTGTCCTAGCTGGTCATTATGCAATAGTAAATACCAGATGTCGTTTAAAAGCTTAAGTAGCAGACTCTCTCTAATGTGTATTTGTTAATGTAACAAATCCCTTTGAGTGGTTGTATAGTAATTTCCATCTGTACTCCACTTTCTAAATATTTTTATTATCTTAGAGGTGTTTACAACTGGATAATCTTAATATTTATAATAGTTGTAAAAGAGGCAGGAAAACGGGTAGTAAATTTATGGTTGGAAAAAATGACAGTTGATGAGAGTTTTGCATAATTAAGATGTGGATAATCTTCAGAATCAACTGTCAACTTCCTGAGGTTTAATTTCAATTGAAATTAAGTGCTGGTTTGACAGAATGAGCCTGTCCCTCTGAGAAAATTACTTTTGAGTACCTGAAATTTCTTTGGGTAAGATGTCTGGCAAAAGTTTGATATAACTGCAATTTTTTTTTAATGTTAGCTGAAACCCACACTCATAAACTGGAGCTAACAATTCAAATCTAACAGCTATGAGTATTTGCAATATTATGGTCAAGAATAGCTAAAAAACCCCCCTGAAATTTCAGTAGATAATATAAAATTTAATCATTCAGTAGTGTTAGAAGTGTATCCACATTTTAATGCTGTGAATTTTGCTAATATATGTGAGAGCCTAGTTGATCAGAAGAGTAGATAGAAAGGAAACTTTAGTGTAAATTTAAAATACTGTATATTGCCAAGGCCCTGGATGCATTTAAACTTCGCATATTTGCTCCTACCACTAGCAGTTTACCTATCAGCTTGAGTACAGAGAGAAGTCTGAATTGCTTTATAACTTACTCTCTTTTCTTGCCAGACACTCGAAAGGAGAAATAAATGAATCAAAATGGATACAAATATTTCACATCTCCAGTTGTCTCAAACCTTCTGTAGACCCACTAATTTGCACTGCAGAGGATGAACTGTGGCAGACCTAAGCCAAAGTTACAGTCATTACTGAGGGCTGGATTTAGGGTTTGCAGTGCGTACAGCAGAGATCCCAGAAAGATCTGAAAGAATATGCTTGGCTTTACTATTGATTCTATTTGGGCTGAGCATTTTCTTAATTGGTCTCAAATATGCTTTAAAACTTTATACCCCTTGAATGATTTCATTGTGAACTCAGAGTTGTTCAGTTTCTGTGCCTGGATATTACAACACACCAAAATCACTTGAGAAGATGCCACGTGAATAACAATAGGGAAAAAATAACTCATAATCTCTGCTTCCTTATTTCAGTATTTATGGAAACTGTTGTAGTAGATACACGTCAGTAGCAAATGCCCTTTTCATCTCCCATACCTCCATTGAAGCTGCCATCTGTGACAAAGTTTGGTCTCTAGAATGTATTCTCTTTTTTATTTACAAACAATTCTTATTTTCTATTTGTGTATCTGATTGCTGCAGGTCAGGTAGGCATGCTCTGCTGGTTTGACACAGAGCTTTACTCAGAAACATCTTGTGCTTCTTCCAGTTTGCAGTTTGAACTGAAAGCTTCTTGTAATATTTTATAGAAGCATTCCACATGGGCTGAAAATTAATGTCCCAGGCTCTCAGAGCATAAATACTCCATTCAGTCTTCATACTGTTTGAATAATGATTGATTCACTTACCAGAGCCATTAAAGTATATAGAGTGATTGTCCTGGATTCATGTGTTGTAAAGGATAAAAAGAACAAAGCTTCTAATGCGGTCCTTTAGAATAACTACAGCACAGGTTATAGAGTATGTGATCCTTCTTTTATCATCAGGGATACTCATTGCACGTTACTCTGCCAGGAGCAATTGCAGGCTCACCTGTAGTGTCCTGACCCACAGGTCAGTCTGCTTGCTTGCCTCGTCTCACTGGGGTATTGTGTGCTGCTTCTGGCCTCTGGCTTCATATTCTGGATAAATCAAATCAAATGCCTGCCTTTAAAGTCATGTCATTAAAATTACACTGGATTATATTAATTGCTTTTTGAATCCTGACCCCATAAGATGGGCACAGATTATATTTTGAAACTTTTCTTCTCAGTTCAGAGATTATAAATGCACATCTAAAATTAATTATAACAAAAACTTCTAAGTTGAATTTCTCCTGTAATCACAGAAGACCACAACTAATAAAAGCAATCTGTGTGGTCATTATATATTTATTGATGGCATTTTTTGTATTTTGTCATTGAAAATGTAATAAAATTATTATGATAAATTTGATTATGGAGTCATGAAGTCTGTAAGCAATAGGAACTGTCTTGTTCTTAGTGCCTTTTTGGTAGGAAGTTTGTGTATGCACTAACAACTCTATCACAAACATTAATATAGGTGTTACTATACTTGTTTAAATGATCACTGTTGACTTTCAAATTCAAATTTTGTAAAATAAGATAATACAAAACTTGAACAAAAATGTTTCTGCACGTTTTAGAAATTCTGTTGAGAGCAAGGGTTAAATTATATTTGAAATGTCTTTAAAAAAGGCAGCAGGCAATGATTTGAAAGTATTTTCTCCCTTAGAAATCAAGGCAAATAGTAGGAAACTAGTGCCTCATTTCTTAGCAAAGTGCTCTCTAATAAACAGTGACAGAAATAAAAAGTCAAAATATCTCTTCTGAATTTATTTTTTGCTGCCCATATCAATAATTTTTCTCATGGATCCTGAAATTATAGGACCTATAGTTTGGATTATTACTGCCGTTGCCAATAAGTAGGTATTAGGAAATTTAATTACTCAAGAAATACTTGTTTTATGCTATGCAGCATTCCTTAGATTACACTGCCCTCTACAGGTATGTGCGTTAGTTTTTAGACAAAAGGCAAAAACATACACTGGATATAATTCTAAGATCTAGAGCAAGAAAAGACTGTTGGAAGAAAAGTCTCAAGTACTGCAGGGATCATTTAGTAGTATCCAGAGACTTGGATAAGTGCAAAGGCACTTATGAAAAATTACTTGGGTTTTTCCTCAGCTGCACCCAGGGAATATTGGGCTTAAAGGGGAAAAAAAATCATCATCTTCAACCCTCAGTTTGGGCATTAGAGATAGGAGACTATTTTATACCTATACCATGACAGTATTAGCAGTAAGTGGCTTACATGTAATTCTGACCAGTATTAAAATTTCACATATGGATATGTGTCACCATTTCTTTATATTCCTACTATATTAGTGAGATGAAGTAATGAAATCTGATGTAGGCTGAAAAACAAGACTTGATATCCCTAATTTGAATGGACAGAAGCAGACATAGAATCATAGCATCATAGAATGGTTTGGGTTGGAAGGGACCTTAAAGCTCATTTAGTTCCAACCCTCTGCCATGGGCAGGGACACTTTTCACTAGACCAGTACTCAAAGCCCTGTCCAGCCTGGCCTTGAACACTGACAGCGATGGGGTGGCCACAGCTTCTCTGGGCAACCTGTGCCAGTGTCTCACCACCCTCACAGGAAAGAGTTTCTTCCTAATATCTAATCTATATCTCCCCTCTGTCAGATTAAAGCCATTTCCCCCTGTCCTGTCACTATGTGCTGTTGTAAAAAGTCCCTTTCCTGCTTCCTTGTAGGCCCCCTTTAGGCAATGGAAGCTGCTCTAAGGTCTCCCTGGAGCCTTCTCTTCTCCAGGCTGGACAAGCCCAGCTCTCTCAGCCTGTCTCCAGAGCAGAGCTGCTCCAGCCCTCAGAGCATCTTTATGGCCCTTCTCTGGACTCACTTGAGCAGATCCATGTCCCTCTTGTGTGGAGGGCCCCAGAGCTGGATGCAGTACTGCAGGTGGAGTGACTTAGACAAGTGTCATGCAGGAGCAGAACCACATCAAGGCTTTTTAGGCAAATTTCAGTTTGGGGAAGAAGAGCTGGGAGGGACGAGGGATTCGGAGGAACCTGTGGAAGATGTTTGGGCAGGATTGTAGGACACTGAGGGGATGTACACTAGGAATCTGTTTCTTAACTTCCCATGAACACTTTCCTTTGCGTATGGGTTAAGGATGACAGGGTAAAGATGGGAAGGTTAGGGTCAAACCTAGGCATTTTTCCCTTTTGGTTTTGCCTCGAGCCACCTCTGCTTCTGACTTGGGACTTGACCTGCTGAAGTCCCTTCCAGCTCTGTTTTTTTCACCTCATTCTCTAGATGTCAAGGTAAGAGTTAAGGTTACACATGAGTTCATGGTGTGTTTAACTGGGATACTGTACATTTTAATTTCTGTGAAATCTTCAGTACTTGGGGATACACTGAAAAGCCCAGTACCATTTTGAAATCAAAATTTCAAAAAGTTCTTAATGCATGTGTTCTTGTTTTGTTTTGTTTTCATTTATTCTGCACAGATCCTGATGAGTTTGAGAGGATATATGAGCCACTAGATGTGAAGAGCAAAAAGATTCATATAGTGGACAGTGGGCTTACATTTAACCTCCCGTACCCACTTATCTTAAGACCTCAAAGAGGCGTGGATCTCATTATCTCTTTTGATTTTTCAGCAAGGCCAAGTGATTCCAGTCCTCCTTTCAAAGTAAGTGAGATAAGCCATACCTTTTTTTGTGTTCATAAATTTATCTTGGTTGCATTCTTCTGGTCAGGTTGATTGCACATTTCATGGTTCCAGAAGGCCTTAGTGCTATTTTATCAACAGCATTGGAACAATTTGTTTCTACAACAAGGCAGAATATTGTGCTTTGCCTCAGTTCCTGTTTACATGACTCACATGAGACAACTGATACAAAAAAGGCTAATATGACTTGTTTGAAGTATTGACTCTGTTGTTTTTATGGAAATCTTGCATTCACACTGAATTGCAGAATTTTATTTTATGTCAGTATTAAACCATTAACTCATGTACCATTGTGTTAGTGCTCTAGCTCTGTACAGCTGTTCTCTGTGATGCTGTGATATAAATGAATGGTTTTCTGTCATCATCTTGCAGAAAAGTGTCTCAGTCACTCTGGTATTGCTAAATATGTAACATTTTGGAAGTGGTGCTAACTTCATTCACATCTCACTAGGATAATCCAAGTACTGGTTTAAATAGAATTCCTAAATATATTCAGGACAGACCAAAGCAACAACACAAAAATGCAAATTAAATGGCATGGTTTTTTTTCAGTAGCAGATGTGGAAGGCACAGCTGGCAGTCTCTACAATGGGTACAATCTCTGCATCCAGACAGCTCCAACTGATCAGAAGGGCCTAATGTTGGATCATTTTGGTAGCTGACACACAAAAAAGCAGTACTTATGAGACTATTGTGAGGTCTTCAAAAAGAGGCAATATTAATTTGAAACCCAAGTGGATTTTTAAAAATTGTTTTTAAGGAAAGCAAGAAAACATGTCTGTTTGAGAAACTGGCATTCCTTGTTGCTTTACAGACAAATTTCAATTAGAACAAACAGATTTTTTTTGTTCCTCTTGCTGTCAAGGGACAACGCTACCAACCAACATTAGAAAATAACAGCAGTAGCAAAATGAACTCTAGATCATTGTTGTCAAATGCAATTTAAAACAAGTTCAGGAGAATAAAAAGGAGTAAAATGACTTCTGTAATCTCAAGATCTCTTGGGAACTACTTGGAAGAATACAGAACTGAGAAAACTCTTATTAGTGCTGAGATCCTTTGTTTTCCTTAATTGACTGAATCCCACAGTGTGTTTCTATTGAAGAATTTGCCTCCTTTTTTGTCACAACTGAGTATTTTCCCCATCAGCTAAATTTACTGACACTGCACTGCTGTCTCCTCTGAAGCATTTTCTTTTTCCTCCCTTTGTTAATGTTCTGCACATGAAGTCTACAAAAGGCTGTGCAATGTCTCTCTTATTCTTAGCCTATGCTTTGAACTTTCTGTCAGCATCAGCTGTAATTTTCTGTGTCATTTTGGGGAACATACCATAACATGGACAGATTGATAGGAAGTCAAGTGGTATCCTGAATTGTTTTCTGTAAGCTGTAATTTTAAAAAGAAGAAATCCTTTTACGCATGAAAAAATGGTAGGAAAATTAAATGGTGCCTTGGGTTTTAATGAAGCCACTGTTGAAGGGAATTGTTCATTATTTCTGAAGCGCAAATGTGTGTATAACAAATAGAGTGACGTAGCTCCAGCTAATACACAGCTATAGTCCATAAGCATAGGCTGTATGCTAATGGCCTGAAGGACAGAAACCAGTTTTGTTTACTGGCTGTGCAGTCCCATTGCTTCTGCTTGCATTACAAAGAGTAAATGACAGTTCAAGAGTTTGCCTGTATCTACAGTAGTACTCTAATGTCCTTTTATTACTCCAACACATAGGGAAATCAGCCAGCTCAAGTCTATGACTCTACTTTTATCATTTTACACACACTATGTTTTAATCTCTTCTGTATCCAAAACAGTTGCCCAAAGAAGGGTCCTGTTTCATTCAAAACCAACATTAAAGATGTTGACCTTCCCTCTCCTCCCTCTCACACACCCTCATTACATGCTTTTGAGTCATTATTTACCAATTATTTTGTTTACTGAGTTGTCATGAGTTTAAAAAAGTCTGTTTTCCAGACTTACTTCTTCACTTAGTATGCTTTCAAAGGCCGTTCTGTGCTATGATGTGCATCTGAACATAACAACACGTGGACTGATGTTTATTAACTCTCATTGGTTTCGACAGCACTGGTACTCAGTTTGCAAGTAAAATTACAGATGGTTTTTTCTAGCTGTCAGCTCTGTAAATTCACCAAAGATTTATGTGACAGACCAGCTCTTTCCTTCCTGTGAATCATCTCAGGCGGTGCAGATTGGGCAGGCTGAATTAGGTGCTCAGTTCACCATACTGGGTAGCCTTTACAAAGATTGGCCTGATCAGTCCTTCTGTGTAAAGAAGTGTGAGTTAATAAAACTTCTTCCAGTAACCAATTTGACCTGTGTCTCTACATAAAATCTCACTTTGCAGTGGATGCTTATATGCGCCTGAGTCTTTGTTATCTTTTCAGGAAATTTTGCTTGCTGAAAAATGGGCCAAAATGAACAAGCTTCCTTTCCCCAAAATAGACCCAAATGTATTTGATCGGGAGGGCATGAAGGAGTGCTATGTTTTCAAACCAAAGGATACCTCTTCGGAGAAAGACTGTCCAACTATAATCCATTTTGTTTTGGCCAACATCAATTTCCGGAAGTACAAAGCTCCAGGTGAACACACAGTTTTTGATGCTCAATCTAGCTGTTCCTTTGAAGCTTTATAATGACACAGTGATTATATACTAGAAATGCTTTGTCTCTGAAATAACTCTGAAGTCTGTCTGTAGTAGTTAGGAGTTCAAAAGAGCCATTAAAAAATAAGATAAGTCCTCAGACCTAACATGTAGATTGTATTTTTGTATTTTTTCTGTATGCAGGCATTCTAAGAGAAACACAGGAAGAGAAGGATTTTGCAGACTTTGACATTTTTGATGATCCAAATACACCATTCTCTACCTTCAACTTCCAGTATCCCAATGAGGCTTTCAAGAGGCTTCATGATCTAATGGAGTTCAACACCCTCAATAGCATAGATGTATGTATGACAGTGTGGAAGGGGCTTAAAGGGACCAGATTGTTAAATGGGAAAGTTGATGATGTGAGTAGAGCCCTAAATCCACCATACAGAAGGTACAAGGGTTTATTCAGTATTTGCCTGATTGTTACGACATACAAAGTGCTTCCAGCATTTGATTTTGACCCTTGCTATTCTTGAAGTTGAGGCTGGATCAAAGCCCATTGTAGAAAGTGGAAAAAATCTGCTTTATTTTAATGAGGGACAGAGCATAACCTAAGTAAGTTCTTTATGAGCTGTGTACAAGCATGCACAAACTCTGGCATGGTTAACTTGTATCCTTCCAGCCTTGGAAGGTAATACAGTGGCTGGAGTTACCTGAAGAGAACTCGAGGAGATACACAGTGATAGTCAGGTAAAAAGAATTTGATATCTTCACTTGACCTCTATTTCTCAAGTATTGAAATAGCAGTGTTGTAGGAAGTATCACCACCATATATGATCCTCTGTCAGTAATAGACCACTAAGCAAATATGCTGCTGAAAAGACCAGAGGTGCTTTCCAGTGGGGAAAAAAAGAAAAAAAAAAAAAAAAGTCTAAACAGTATTTCTCGGGCTAAGAAGATTGATACATTATTTTGGCCATCTTCCAAATGGAAGAACTACTGGAGTGTAGTATGTGTGCTTTTCACAATGTTTGAGCCTGTGCTTGTGAGGATTCATTCCAATTCATATCCTTTTCTAATTTGATTCCTGTGTTTTTTTTGCCATTTTACCATCAAAATCCCTGCAGGGTAACTGGGCAAAGGTGACTCCGTAGGATGCAGACATTATGTTCTGGATTTTATACTAAGTTTTTATATATGATCATTTTCTAACTGAAAAAAAAAATATTCTGTAAAGTTCTCTGGAAATTTATCAAGTCAGTGATTATTTTTTTTTAATGAATACAAGCTGTAACTCAGCACCATGATCCCAGCATCTGTAGAGTGACTAGCCATATTCACAAGTGTAAATGATCAGCCCAGATACAGAAATACTTTTTTTTTTTTTTTCAATATAGTGAAGAAATCTTGTTACTTCAGGACAAAGGAAGCAAAAGTGAAGTTTAATCTTTCTCAGTGTAGCAATTATTTTCTATATCCTTTAAGTATGGATGTTCTCCATTTTGATTTACCCTTCAGAATTTCACTAGGACTCGGTTTAAATGGTGTATATTCTTTTCTGACTTTGACGTTGGTGGCATCCAGTTGTATCTTTATTAACTACATTAAAAGCAGTGTTTTATATAATCAAGAAAAAGTATTCATAGTAATACTCAGCAATCACTTTGTTCAATGATGGAGCAATGTTAAAAGTAGGAGTAGTAGTTGCTAACATCTGAAGGGGTCTTTTCTATCGGTTAATAAATCATTAAAGTGTTAGTTATTTCCCTGGGTGACATGTTGCTCACTGTTTTCCAGGTGATCAAGCAAGCTATGGTGGAAAGCATTGAATACAGGAAAGAGAATCCATCTCGCTGCTCTGTGTCTCTCAGCAGTGTTGAAGCAAGAAGATTCTTTAATAAGAACAATCTTAACAACAGCCACACATAGAGAGTATGTCATAGGTCCTTCTCCTTCAAGAAACTGGTTCTGCCTTTATAACTGGAGTCAAAAAGACATTATCAAAACATCACTGCTCCTGAGCAGGGCTGCGCAAAACTCCTCAAAATGTTTTCTTGTGGATTTTCAAGTTTCAGTATAATTTTGTACTTTTTTTTTAAAAAACTAAAAACATTGAAAACATTTCAGTAGGCTAATAGCCTTATTTTTAAAACAATGGAATTAGTTTATTTTGACTATGGTTATTGGGTTCAGTGTCTTTTTTTTTTTTTCTTACAAAATTGTAAACACTGGTTTCTTGTTGTGGGGCAGTTGTCTGATGTTTAGTTGATGTAAACTGGGCATATTGTGAAACATAAAATGGAATTAGAAACACAACAGAATAAAATTTTAGTAACAGAGGCAATATATATACCTGGGCTTGGGCCCAGATTTCAGAGTTCTTTCTATCAATGAGAAGATTTCCTCTGACTTTGATTCGAAAAGTCTGTAATTGCTGACTACTGCTAGGCAGCAAGAGCTCCCTGGTATATGAAGTTGCTTAGATGCCTACTAAATCTATTAAGGTTGATTTCTTACACTGGAAGAGGTTTTGCTCACTAATATCTATTGTCTATATTGGCCTTACCAAAACTCCATCATCAAGCTATGTTTTAAGTTTCACTTTTCTTGCATGAATGGTGTCTCTTAACCAACTAACTGCTGATAGCAAACAGGTATCAAAGAAATAGGGTTTATATATCTTCAGTATTGTAAGTAGGATCCTTGGTTGGTTATTAATGCTAGTAGAGCTTTTGTAACTGATGCTAAGAAGGATCTGCTCTTGAATCTTTTAATCTCAAGTATTTTCACAAAAATTGAAGTCCACTTTACTACTGTTTAAGAATGTGTGTATCCACTCAACAGAAAATCCAACATCTTACATTTTCTTTCTCCTTCGTTCCACAAAATTAGATTGCTTAAATGCTTGAGCTAGTAGCACCTGTGTGTTAAGTTATAATTCATTCATGTATTTCTGGCCAAAATGTTGATAGATAAAAGTGATTTTACTTTTAATCATGATTAAAACCATCACATTTCTGCAAAGGGACAGTGGCAATGTTTACTTGGATAGATAAAATATTCCTAGGTAAGAATGTGAAGTAGTTCAAGTATTAAGGGCTATTTTAAAAAATCTATTTTTAGTACTTTGAATAATTAAAGACTGTGCGGAGACATATTTTATTGTAGTAGCATCTCAACAAGTGTTGAGGTAACTCTGCCGGTGTTGTACCTCTTGAGAACTTCCAGCCTCCTTTGAAATAATGTAATCAGCAACTGTGTAACTTGGGAAAGAGCAAAAGGAACTGATGGGGTCACTGAGGCCTTGCACTTTGTGCAAGACCTGGGAGCCATACGCTTTCAGGGCACTTGGCAGGCTTGTTTTTTAAAGTCTGTGGGATTAACTCTCAGCAAATGGGCCTGGAAGTCCCAGCACTGGTTCCATAGCTGCTTTCTTCTGAAGTCTGGAGAAGGTAGTAGAGGCTGAATAGTTTAGCTCAAGGTGAGATTGCTGGCTCAAATGCAAAAAAAACATACAAAGGTGTGTGCAGAGGTGGGAAGGGAAGAACACATCTGCAGTTGCCCTGTGGATTGCTTGTCCCATGCTCCACAGCAGACAGAGTGAAAAAGCACTCCTTCCACTGGGATTATCATCATGGTGGAAACAAAGCATGTTTTCAGTAGGATTATTTCAGTCTTATGGTCAGAAGGCATGCATATTTCTCTTCAAGAGCTGAAGTGGAATTTTGGTCTCAAGATTTTGGTTGACGTTAATAGGGTTCAGATTTCCGCCTCTTACCTTGCCAATAGGGCTATCAGGATCTTAGCAAGTGCAAAGATCATGGTGTCAGGGAATGCCATCACTTTGTGCAGAGTCTATTTGAAGCATAGCTGACCTTTTGGTTGATAGTTTTCTGACAACTTTTACAATAACTGCTGATTTATCAGTTTATTGCTAATCCAGTGGCTGTTCCTTTTATTGTGAATTATTGAGCTATTTTTAATTTCTCAAATCTGTAAGCCCATGGGAAGGGAAGTAATTATAATGCATTTCTTTTAACAGCCACTGCATCATCCCTCCTTATATCTACATGCAGTGTTCCATGATTAATAATATTTTCTGTATTGATCAATAGGTTTTATTTCTGTTTGAGTTAGTATATGTATAAAATTGAGAGAGAAAATAAAAGTAACTTATCTTAGTGCTGCATAATTTAAACATTTTCAATAAATTTTGGAATACAGGAAGAAACTGGTACTGTTATTTTGTTGTAATATTTTCTTTTTTATGTTTTCGTTTTCCTTTTGTTATTATTTTTTTTATTTTATAATATGTACCTACTCTGTTTTATGGAAGTGTTTATCATGCTTTATACAATTTATATTATCACAATGTTATCAGGCAATAAAAAAATAACTATATTTGACACCTACTGTTTTCAGACAGTTTGTTTTGATCATTTTTATGGTATTTTCACTTTTATTGTGAAGAGATGTCGAACAGCTCAATGGTGTGTGGAACCTGGTAGGACAGCTCATAAGCAGGAAATTCAAGGTTTTGCTTATTACTTTGATTTTAGATGTTAAAACTACAACTTTTTTGAGCAGTTCAGTGTGTGGGGACAGCACATACATCTGTTTCTATTCCAACTGGCATATTTTGTTATGAGTACTCTGCTAGTATTTTGTGCTGTTCTGTTAAGAGTAACTACAGTATGGATGTTGGGTCTTTGCTGCCCAGTTTAAAAAGCAGATGAAGAAGGGAAGTTCCTCCAAAACCATTTGGATCAAATAACTGCTGGCCTGTTGCTTCTCTTTGCTGAAAAATAGGAGCAGTCTGTCATTTGCAGGTACTTCAAGATGCAAGGACATCATTCTGATAGATAATGTGTAAATATTCTTCTCCCATTACTGTATGGTGAATATGGCTACAAGTCAGGATTGACAGTCTCTTGGATCTTGTCCTGATTTTTTTCCCCTCCTGGTTAAAGGTTGCTAATACACAGAAAAATGTGTATTTTTTAAATTTAATATGTTGCAAACCATCAATTTAATTTAATCAAACCATATTTTCTGGATAGGTACTGTAAGATCCAAAGTGTTGATAGATTTCAGTATTACCCACAATAAATCTGCAGGGAGACTTTTTACAAAGGAATGTAGTGACAGGACAAAGGGGAATGTCTTTAAGATGACAGAAGGGAGATTTAGATTAGGTGTTAGGTAGAAATGATTTACCGTGAAGAGTGGTGAGACACTGGCACAGGCTGCCCAGAAAAGCTTTAGCTGCCCCATCCCTGGCAGTGTTGAAGGCCAGGTTGGATGGGGCTTGGAGCAACCTGGTCTAGTGGAAGGTGTCCCTGCCCATGGCAGGGGGTTGGAACTGGCTGGGCTTTAAGGTCCCTCCCAACCCAAACCATTCTATGATTCTATAACCAATAGGTCTAAGAGTAAAATACCAGAGGCATCGATAACTTCTGGTCTAAAGCATCTGTGGACAGAGTAACGAGTGTCTCGGTATTCACCAACCTCTTGAGCCAACACTGCTTTGACCTTGCAGTGCTGTAGGTACTGGTATGGGCTTTCTTGTTTTGGAGCAGTGTCTGTCTGCCAGGGCAGGCGTCCCTCTTACAGAATCAAAAAAGTTAGTGCTTTTTTTCTTATTTTCCCTTCCTTCAGTCCGTGGATTGAATCTTGTTTATTCCTACAACTGTACGTATTATACCTAGAAGGCAGCAAGAAGTGGGTTTAGAGGATGAATTATTTCAGATATCAGGAATTATTTTAGGTGATGCCCTCGGGAAATGGAAGTGCCATCATGCTAGCCTGAAGTGACTGCAAATAGCTCAGCATTGCAGATTAGCACGGCTCCTGAAAAGCAGATGTGGACAAATGTGTCTGTCCCACTCCAGGGAAACCTGGCATCAGACCTGGCCCTGAGATTGCATTTCTTGTCTGTAGGACCTTTGGGCAGTCCTGCTGGATAGGCATCTGAATCTCTACTTGCCTCTTTCCTTTAACAGCAGAAGTGAATACTTGGAATAAAATCCTATTGGCCCAGAAAGCATGAGAGCACTGGCCTCAAGAGTGTTTGCATCAGCGAGCAGAAAATTCATTTTGGCAGTGAAACGGGGCTGTAACAAATGTTGATCCGGCGTATTTTGATACGTTTTAATAAGTTTGGTTTGACCTGGCATATTTTGTCAGTGGGTTGAACCTTGAGAAGTCGGTGTGAACGGTCTATGATGTCCTCTCTAAAGAAGCCTAGATCACCCGCAGATCTCTGGTTTTACAGCAACAATAAGCTCAGTTTTGAGGAGAGCTGTTCAGCTGCTCTAGACACATGAACGGATGTGAGATCAGCAACAGTGGGGAGCAAGTTGTGCAAGCCCGTGCATTTACATAACACATGTTTGCTCTGATCTCACTCAAAGCAAAGGCATGTGGATGTTTCCTGAAGCTGTAAATTCACCCATCACTCTTACTGCTTTTGCACTTCACATACGGCCTAGATTTGTGTACTGATGTGACTCAGCCAATTAAGTTATATATACTGGCCATTCTCACGCTAGGTAAAAAGTAAAGATCGTCATAGTTCACAGGCAAGGAATTCCCCATGACAACAAAAACATGAGACTGTTTTGCATGCAAAGAACCGGCAGTGCAGCAATGAAGTTGACAGAGTGCCTTGTTAATCTTTAGACTAATCAAAAAATACAATATTTGGTACAATAGGAACAGTAATTCCCTGTGTGACCATTTAACCCTTGAGTGCCGAGCCAGGCAAATTTGATTCAAGCAGAAATTAGGGACCAAAGGCCAAACCAAAAGACTTCTGTTCTCTTCAGGTTTTCTGAGGAGATGTATGGGAAGAGAAGACCCAAAGTGGGCAGCCATGAGCTAAGGCAGACCCCAGTATGGGAAGAGTGACCTGGACCCCAGAGATGCCACAAATACAGCCAAGGCCTGAGGAACGGGTGGGAGCAAATGGACCACTGGAAGGGAAACCAGTGACAGGGCCACCAGTACTGTGCTGGTGCAAGGACTGGAGTAGGAGGAATGTCTGAC